GTATGTATATGCATGTATGTTTTAAAGATTGAAAACAATGAATTTTCATTGACAGATGGTCTATATTTGAGTTTTCTTTTTTTATCGATTTATGAACGTTAAAAATAGACAGCACTTTTTCCACGTCATTACGATTCGTACGAGATTTTTTGACAAATCGAACGTACGAGAGATAAACATTTTTATTAGACAATTATTATTGAATGAACGCTGTTAATTAACACACATAGACACATATTTTCTGCTTCTATAATGGAGTAATGATACATAGACTTTTTTTAAATATGAATAAAATCAGAAGAGTTATTTTTTACATTAAATATGCCGTAAAGAGTCGTCGGATGAGTATAACTACTTTTTACCTTTGCCTTAGTACCTAGTGATTGTTATTGAAAGTGTTCAATAAACACATCTTTCTTTATAACTTAGTGTGGTGCAATGTCATAATCAGTATATTTATTCATAGACAAGACAGAGAGAGCAAAAGGCTAGATCTAAAAGGAACAAATTATTTTGACTATTTCAATTTATTCTTCTTGAAATGAATACTACATACAAATTGAGAAGGTCAAGTCAATATTTGGACTAATAGCCTTCTTCTGATATTATCATAATGGATATTTCTGATGTTCATCTAAACCAAAAATATAGATCGTTTTTCTTAGACAGTCAAATCAATCATAATTTGAAAATGATTGGCTAAATTAGACACATTCTTATGATGATGATCATCGTCGTGTAGTCATTTTAGAAATAGCTTTTAACAACTATAGCTAAATATATTAAGTACAAGATAGATATATAGACATCTATCTCTCTTTTCCGCTCTTTGCTGTTTAAACTTCATACATGACGATGCGATGCGATGATGATGATCATAATTACATCTCATTCATGGCTTCTGTTTATTAATCGTGCGGTAGTACAATATTCATTTACACCATAATATAGTAATTCCATATTACTCTCATGGCCCCAAAAAAAGAAAAAAATATATGTTTAGATATACATATACACAATTTTTTTTTTCTCGTACAAATAGATGAAGAGTCTTCATCCTCTTTTTCTTTTTGCTTTAATCATATACTGGTTATAGAGTCCACTGAACATATTAGAAAAATAATGATCCGGTTTTTCTGTTTTGTTTGGAATACGTATTTATCCTTAGAATAATCGACAAATTTCATTGATTCTACGTAGTTTTTCTCTTTTTGAATAACACGTGTTGTTTGTGTAGCATCAGAAATATTTCTTTCTCTTTCTTTTATTTTTCAAACAATATCACGATAAACAGAAGTCATTGTAACGAGATGCAACTGTATTATTATATGCTATAAAACGTTCCTTCTGTTGAATAATCGGTAAGTTTTGATACCAAAAACAAAAAAAGTTTTCATTCATCATCACTCTGAATACAAAAACGGAATATCAGACAAAAAAAAATTTCACAGATATAAGTCAAAAGTTTTCGAATTATTAGAATCCGAAATGAAATTGAATGATTCGGCATTCAATTCGACCTTTTGCCGAATCCAATCGAATCAGATTTTCCTGATTCATTTCGAGTTCTGCTATTTATACTTTTAATATATAGTTTCTTTTTTTCATACACTGTAAAATAATCCTAAGAAGCAATTAGCAAGTGAAATCGTCTGGTTTATCCAAAGATGGAACGATAAATGAGGTGAAAATTCAAACTAGAAAAAATTCAATCTAAATCAAGTATCTAGCTACTTTTTCGTAATGTGCAAAGAAGTTAAAGATTCTGATAGTTAGAGTTTAATATCTATTTTCTTGCATAAACATAATTATTAGTAAAGCTGTTCATTTTAAATCTTTTCCGAAGTATTATTAATATGGATGATTGCATTAGTAATTCGACAGATCATTTAGCCCTTTAAATGTGATGTATGATAATGGTGACTTTGTTATAAAAAGCTTTTGTTGTTTTGATAATGTTATTTGATGAGAAAACATACGCGTTTATCTTTCATTCATTCTAGTTGACCATATTTCTCAGTTACAACTGTTTTCACGCAGTTGTTTTTTGTGATAACTGTGATTAATGCATCTTTTTTCCTTTCTTCTTTTCTTTATAGCATGCAGTGACTATATTCTATATTTAATTATTCCAAGAAAGTTAGTCTATAGAGACAGAAGTACAAGCAGATTTAGATTATTGTTCATAGAGAAAACTGTAGAAGAATAAAGTAAGAACAACAATTTTATATTCCTCAACTGCAACTGTATACAGCAGTCTAAGAGAAAAAAAGTAATATTTATTTTTACATTAAATAAAATAAAAAAGCTGTTTTTTTTTCTCAAATTTCTAGAACATTTTTTTCTGAAATAGTAGTTTATTTAACGTAATAAACGTGATCTCAGAATGATACATATGTCACCTTCTAAAATTTTTTACAACAAAAGTGCCGTTATTCACTTTCGCATGCGAAGTAGTTGAGTATGAAAACCAATATCTGTCTCTCTTGAGAAATCTTGGTGTATGGCCTCAATTTGTCCATCAATATCACAGTTACCGTAGTATAGCTGAGAGAAAGAGCTGATTCAAATGTCACTCTATTCAATGATGCATCATTGACTTTTTTCTATTTTCTGTATGTATGTACAAATATAGAATAAGGAAGTCTCAGATGTATAGTTCAATCAGACAGATGAGAGAACAAGAATAACAACAATAACCACATATACACTCACGTGTATATTGTATAGACATACTCATCAACATAAAAATGAAACAGTAGTTTTTCTGGTATTGTGAAAAAAATTTATTTTTAAAGTGATGAATGCGTTTAAATGAAGCGCAATGTTAAATTATTATTATTATTATTATTACTACTACTACTATGTTCCACTTGAAATCTGATGTAACAACATTCAATTAGTTGTGTGTTGTATTTTTTTATTAGATTTGCTATTTTGATGTTGTTTGCAGACATCTATTACTCGAGGTAGTAAATTATTAACAATAGTCAGTCTATCAATTTATCGAATTAAGAGTCAGAAGGACGATATGCAAAACATACACGATCACATCAGTGGGCTTTCTCATCGAACATATGCAATAAATATAAAAAAACCGATATTTGTACACCTTGTACAGTTAATCACAGCAAGAATAAATTAATGACAGATAAGATTTCTCTTTACAGGTTAAAGATAGACAGTTACATCCAAGTTTTGGCGACTAAAACATACTCGTTCATAGACGTAAAAAATAGATTTAATCAATGTTTTGTGTGTATAGAGAAAAAGAAAAACATAGGATCAAGATTCAGAAAACAATGGATATGCAGGATGTTATCCTGCTGATCAATTGTTTTCACATAAATAATTTGTTACTTTTCAATGGTCTATAGATCAATTTCTTAAAAAACAAGATTGTTTTTATTCGAAATCAAATTAACTTAATCTTTAACCTTTATCTCTATAGAACGGCATGATAATTGTCTTTTAATATGATCTTTCGCACGCGAAGTTACATATATTGACAAAGTTAAATGATTCTTCTCCTTTTTTTTTCTCTTACTAATATGTTGACAACTTCATGTACCCTTGACCGCTGACCACATATCTCACTCAGCAGTAAAAAATTTATTTTTTTAAATAATTTGTTATGTAAAAACTGATTAATAAATTTTCTCGTAGAGTGTGATGAGCGAGAGAGTGAGAGAGACGAAAAAACAAGGTTATATGTTCAAATAGAAACCTCTCTAATCTTTGTACGATATATATATGTGTATATTGATAGATGAGAGATACGATGACACCATCATCGTCAATTTGATCTCAAGTATTTTTTCTTTTTACGATATGATACCACGCCTTATATTTTTCGATAATAATAAAGATTGTGCATTATATAAATTGATAGATATATGACGTAAAAAATTAACTTTTTTCAATTTATGTAAAGAACCCTTAAGGATTGATTGCTTAATGTATTAAGAAAGTGGATTTTAAAAGTGAATAGACTACATCGCATGTCTTTCTATTAAACATATCTTCCATATATTATAAATAATCACCTTTTTTATTATATTTTTCTCCTAAGAATTATAAGACTTAGTTAAATCACTCTAGTTCTTATCACATTTATGAACAATGGAACAAATGTGCACATGGTAAGTTACACATTTAAATTGACGTCATTTTTAGCCAGCAGCAATAGTAAATTCAAGATTAAAAAGTTGCTGAACTCTAATAGAGCAATTGTTATAATATCGAGGATTTCTTAAGTGCGTCTTCCTTGTCATACACCATCAAAAATGTTAAACTCGCTTGGAATTATTTTCAGTGAATAATCTGCTCTTATACGACAAAATGATTACGAATGTATAATCAACAGTACGATCGATCAAGAATGAACTCATCTTCGCTCATTATCATTCTAATAATAACTTCAATATTTGCACTTTGTCGTTTTGCTGCCTATGTTATTGTATGTACAACCTCATCTATAGATATATGTGCGAATGTGTTCATTTTCTTCTCTTTTTTTTTTGCTACGCTTGTTGTACAGTCAAAACATCATTACTTCTAACGAGAAAGAAGAGAAAAAAGAAAAAGAAAAAGATCTTAGCCAAGGCAAATAAAGCAAAGTGTTTTTTTTGAAAGAAAAGGGAAACAGAGAAGAAGACAGAGGGAGAAATCATTATACCATTTCAAAAATAGGGTGATAATATGTATTTTCTAAAAAGAAATAAAATTTTTATATTAAACTATAAAAGTCTCTTGAGATCGCTTCCTTCCGTCACAGTTCTTTGAAACGGTTTGATGCATACGCTAGTTAGAGTTAGTATTTTGCGTTCAAATTCGGACACCTTGATTTAACGGTTATATGTTGTTTGTCATATAATTCAAAGGTAACGTGTAGAACCTGGACACCAGCAAGTCACATAGTACAAATCACTCTTCTCATAGCACATTCACTAGGTTATGACGTATAATATAGTTCCTCGAGTTTGCCAGACAGTTAGTACATGGTTAGTGAGTGTGTACGTAGAACTCAAGCAATTATGCGAAAGAACTCTGGATTTGGCTAACTGAAGGTTCAATTGGGTAACTAGTTAAAGAATGACTGAGGAATATTAGTGGGTGCGGTAACGGTATTGGCTTACTCGAAACTAAGGAGTCTGACTTGTTAGCATCCTATATTAGCAACGGAAACTACAAGACGGATAGTTCATCCTTCTTCTGACAGTTCTACTTCATCTTTCTTTCTCCCTTTCTCTCTCTTACTCTCAATTACCTATAGAAAAAGTTCTAAGTTTTGTTAAAAGATGGTAAGATATGTGAATGACGAGAATTAACAAAAAAGTGCTCATATTTAGAGTTTTTGGTCTAAGATCTCAGAAGTTTTTTTTTAGATTGATTAGTTCTCGTTATACATAATGATGAACAGAATCGAACAGAAGGTTCAATTAACTTTAAATGTGACCACATGAACTCTATGGACGTAATTTCTGAAGTCAACGTCATTTTTTTGTGACAAATAACGATGTCTTATACACTATTATTTATTCTATTATTTTATTCATTTTGTACAACGTCTATATTATATGCATTTAATTTCCAGACAGTTGAACATTGGAGGTATTTAACCGGTGAATCATTAACTTCTACATATTTTGGATATTCATTAGCAACACAATCAAATTTAGAACAATCGAGGTAGCCGTTTCGTTGTTAATCGATTTAATAGAAATTAACGTTAGATAATTTTATTATTATTTAGTTTGATTGTGGGATCGCCAAGAGAACATATTTATGATGATGATTATTATTATTCAATATATAGACGTGGTGCAGTTTATCAATGTACACTAGGAACACAAGATTGTACAAGAGTAAAATTTCCTTTAAACGGTAAATGTATTCAAATGTCGTTAGAAACTTGTACGATTTTTAAGAAATGTTCTCTGATTAGAAAAATGCAGTTTTTGAGTATCTTTGTCAAGTCCTGAGTATTAATAAGTCAATAATATATGCCCTTGAATTACCTTGTGTCTATTTAATCTTGTTATAAATTACACCTGTGCTCGTCATAGATAAGCCTTCGATATTGAACTATAAAGCTGTCAGTTTTCATCTATACCTTGTTTAGAGATATGCTAAGATTCATGCAGTCTTTGGCATCATCGGTGCTAAATATGGATCAAACAGCTTAGGCAAAAGTTAATTTTTATCAAAAAATCTAGATTAAACAATACTTTTTGTATTGTGTTTGACCAATCACTGAATATACAATGTTGATAGACCTTTTTTAGGGAATGAAGAAATTCGACTAAGAACAAGTAGTGATAACAAAACTGATCAATGGTTTGGTGCATCGATAGCTGCAGATATAAGAAATATTATTGTGAGTATCAAATATGGTTCTTTTCTCCTCAAGTGATAAATAGATTATCTGATGTAAATTATATATATATCGATAATCTGTCTCAAAAGCTTTTTATACTTTTCTTATTTGAATCAGTTATACGTTTGATTCTTTATAATGCCTTTTTTCTAAATATTTCAAATGTGAATGAATTGGTTCTACAAATTGTGTCATTTAGGTTGGTGCACCTCATTTGAAACATGTTATCATCGATGCAACAGCCGAAAACGGCATTCATTACGATATTCCCGGTGTGTGTTGGAAGGGAAAAAATATGTGGTCATCAGCTACAGCAAATAGTACACAAATCTATTCGCCTGGAATGAGTCATTGGGGTAAGTTATTTCCTTAAAATAAAAATATGAAGATCTATTTTTGCCTATAATACCAATTTATAGACTTGAGAGATTTTCATAAAGAAGGCTATGGTTTATTCGGTTTTCAAGTGGCAATAAGCAAGGTATAACAATTATGTCGTTCTCAATTATATCTATACTAACAGATTTTTAATTTTAGAAACCTGAAAGAATTATTATAACTGCGCCCGGCTCATTTTATTTTCGAGGTATATACAACTCCGTTAATAGAAATAGTTTTGAAAATCCTTTATCAATTAAAATTATATAATACCAACTATACTGTTTTATTTATTTTTAGGTCAAGTTCATTCAATTCCATTATTAAATAAAGATTGGTTAGAATCCACACATGCCTTTCCATCATCACATTATCCATTTTTAAACGTTAGCTGGTTAAAATATCCAAAAAACTATTCCCTTAACGAATATGATGATTGGTGCTATCGAGGTTTGAAAAGTCTATTCTATACTGTAGTTTGATCTTAATTTAACATGTTTGTTTTAAGGTTATGCGTTAGCATTAGGCAATTTTAACGATGATGACGATCAAGGTATTGTTGAAAAAACATTTTTTTTCCTCTTTTTTGTCTATTCCTTTTACATATCTATTTTAGAAATTGTAATAACTATACCACGATTAAACGGATATAAAGGGGCTATTGAAATTCTTAACAGTAATCTTAATGAAAGTTCTATACATTCAATTAACGGTTCACAGGTATATGAGAAAGAAAAGTCATCAAGTCCATTTTATAAACGACTGTTTTGGCTTTTTAGGTTGGAGCCTATTTTGGCGCTTCACTCTGTGTTCTGGATATTAACAATGATAGATTGGATGATTTACTTGTCGGTGTACCATTATTTACAAGTAGAAAAGATGGTAGAATTTTATCGGATGCGGGAAGAGTCGAAGTCTATTATCAAACTAAACAGGTAAATCACTGATAATCAGAAATTAGATTTTAAAGTAATATTAAATATATCGTTTTTAGCATGAATTGATACTAGGGAAACCGTTAGACGGTACAAAGAAAGGAGGTCGGTTTGGACATGCAATCGCTAAACTGGGCGATATAAATAAAGATGGTTACGAGGGTATACATTTGAAAAATGTTAATATAAGTCATTCTAATTAATAAAATAATTTTTATCACATGTTTCAAGATGTTGCTATTTCGGCACCGTTTGCTGATGGTGGATATTCTGGTGAAGTGTACATTTATCATGGTTCTGAAACAGGTTTATCGACAATACCAGCTCAGGTAAAATTTGCATACATTTAGAATTTTCTTCAATCGTGTGTATCATCAGTATTCAATTTAAAGATGATTTGTTATATTTTAAAGATTCTCAAACCTGATAGATTATTACAAGCATTTGGTTGGGCATTACAAGGTCAATTTGATGATGATCATAATGGTTATCCAGGTATGTTTACTATAGTCTCTTTCTCTTAAATTTATACTGAAAATATTTTTAATTGTTTGAAGATTTGGCAATTAGTAGTGCTAAAAATGATACGGTTGTTATTGTTCGGTAGGTAACTTTAAAGGACCGATCTTGCCGATTTTTTAGTGGATATTCATCTAACTCAAAATGAGATTAAAAGTATATGGTTAGATGCGGAATGAAAAACTGCATCGATTACTGTTTTCCATTTTGTTGAAAAACTATGAATTATATATGCTGAAAACTCAGCTTTAAAAGTACTCTTCGCTTTTTTTAAAATTTTGTTTTGTTGCTGAGAAAGTTTATTTTTTCTAAATCAGAGGCAAAAAAGTCGGAATTCTCGGAACTCAACTTTTATGCAATAAAAATATCAAATCCAGAATCACGATCAAAAACTGAGTCGATTAATGTACATTTCTATTCTATCCGAATACTTCAGTTTTTTTCGAACTTTCATGTCCATTTTCATCCAAACTGAAAATCAATTAAAAATTTCAAAGTGCACATTACTCGACTCAGTTTTTGATCGTGATTTCGAATTTGATATTTTTGTTGCATAAACGTTGAGTTTTGATAAAAAAATTTTATTAGAACTCAACTTTTATAATGACGGCTTCAACCATTAACACAAAAAGCTCGATAAATTTACAAAATTGGGTGCCCGCACTTTAGGGGGCTGGTACGGGACGCCCATGCTCGACAGGCTTTTAACCTCGAAATTGATCAAACACTATTCAGTGTCTAACGCTGAATCCGAAAAAAATGGTCTGAAGGCTTCAAAACAATCTAAAGTCGAGATATTAAAGATTTTTTGAACTTGAAGGATTTTTCGAGTTTTCGACATTTTCTTAATCAGCTTGATGAGCTCTATCTAACGATGTATAATAAAGTAAGAAAAAAATTTTGTTTTAATATTTTTTCATCTTAAAAATGAAATGAATATAAAAGAGCTTCCTGTTTCGAATAAGAAATATCTAAATATAAAGGTTATTGTAGCGCAGAAAAAATTCTAAAAAACAGAACTCATGTCTGTTATTTTACTCGGGACATTTATACTCAAATATGCACTTCAGTTGCAAAAAGATCTCTCAACTTCGTGGTTTACCATAGGTATTAGATGTAAGGCACTGAATGCTTCTGAAATAGCCTATACGATACGATTTTATTCGTAGATTACAAATATGTTATATTGATTTTAATTGACATTAGGCCAAAATGATGTAGGTATGTCGAATAATTACGTTTTTTTTCAGTAGTTAGAACAAAAACTTTTCCAGTAGTTAGAACAAAAACTTTTCCAGTTATTTTATATTCAATAAATAGACGATATTCATGGGCAGTTTTTAAGAGTAAAATTGGAATGGTAGGATTCACGTAAAAAGTAGGAAAATATATTTTTAATTGATGGCACCTATTTTCCAGCAAAACTAACCAACTTTAAAAATTCATAGTTTGTCAACAAAGTGGTTAAATAGGAAACAGTAATCGACGTAGCTTTTCATTCCGCATCTAATCAGTATACTTTTAATGTCATTTTGAGTTAGGCGAATTTTCATTTAAAACCGGTAGAATCCTTCATAACTGTAAAACTCATTATTGAGAGTAAAATTGTTTCATATAGCTCGCGACCAATTGTCTATATTAGAGCAATGATGACTCACAAACCACAGAGTATCCGTTTGAATTGTACATCAAATATAAATGAAAATTGGTATAAATATTTAACAATGATTATATTATATTCTAAATTTATATTTATATTGTTTTTAGTTTTACTCTCCGCATATGTATCAATTTTAATGGAATGCAAAATATTCATTCAAACCTTGGCAGTAAGATTTTAATATTAATGATAATATTTTATGCGTTTTTAATATTATTATTTATTTTAATTTAGATTTTTCCTATATTTTACAATTGGATATTCATAAAAGTAAAAGTGAAAAACGGTTATATTTCAAAGAAAAAATGGGGCATTGGACACGATTAACAAATCGTACAAAGACCATTCATAATTTAAAATCAAATGATCCGGAAAAATGTACAAATCATCCATTATACGTAAAAGTAAGTAGTTTAAATAATATTTAAAAAAGATTGTATTTAAAAATATTTTATTTTCATATTAATATAATAGGAAAATGTTAATGATAAATTGAAACCAATTGTTGTTCGTTTAAACTATAGTCTTGCTACAACTTCAATAAATAATATTGTTCCACCAATGTTAGATGCTAAACCATCGTTTATTGAACATGAGGTTAGATATTTCATACATTTTCAAATCTATTATATATTTTATTTATTTATTGTTGATTATTTATCAGATACGTATACAAAAAGATTGTGGAACGGATGACATATGTATTCCAAATTTACATTTAACCACAACAAGGTTAGTTATTAAATAGTAAAATAATGGATTTTAGAATATACCTTTTTTTGTCTTTGTTTAGTTCGCCTAATGAGTATAAAGTGGGTATATCAAATAAAATTATTTTAAATATATTTGTTATAAATTCGGGTGAAGATGCCTATGATACTAAATGTACAATTCAATTGCCAAAAAGTGTCAGTTATATTAATTCAAATTCAAGTTATTTGGTAAATAGAAATATATTTAAAGTCTCCTCTCTTGTCAGAGATATAGATTTGTTCAAAAAAACGTTGACATTGAGCTAAGCACAAGATTAGATAGACTAATATATCTATCTACTCTTAGCATCCTTACTGTTTATTCCAATATCAAAAGTTTCTGAGGATTTCTGCAGAAATTTTCTAAAAAAGCCTAAAAATCTGATTTTTCGCAGAAAAATGCACTTGTTGTGACAGTACAGAGTCGGTATTTTGAGTTTCATTTCGGACGCTAAGAAAAATATGAATCTCTGAAAAACCCTTAAACAGGCTTTTTAGATATTTTGATGAAAAATATTTCGCATCTCATAAAATTTCAAAAAATTCAATTCTGCACTGTCAAAACCATAGGACTTGTTCTACGAAATAGAACTGTTTCGAACTAGGTATGCACCAGTTACAGTTAAAAAACAGTTAACTGTAGTTGCTAAACTGTAGAACTCTAAAAATTTTACAATTAAAACCTGAAAGAATATTAAATAAAATTTTTACAGTTAAAAAAAATGGTAACTATTACATATCTATTCTGAACCTTGCAGCATCTAAAACGAGTGAGAATTTCGAAAAACGTAAGTGAGCTCACTTTTGATTCATACCAGATTTGTGATTACTAAAATCGATGTCAAATAGTCCTTAAGAATCTATAAGATTGAAAAATTTATTTTTGTTTTGTTTACTAGCACAATGTTTATTGCGATATAGTGCATCTTGAAACGGTCGTTTGTCAAATTGGAAATCCGTTGATAGCACATGGAAATGTAATAATCTTTTTTCTTCTTCTCCTCATATAGCATTATTTATTCATATAGCATCTGTTTATTCATTTAGATATCCTTTCAAATATTTGCTGATTTAAAACCATCAACTGATCTTCTAGATAAATTAGTGTTTCATATAAATGTCACCAGGTTTGATTTTCAATTTTTTATCATTCAATATTAACAATATTATATCAATATTTTAGTGAAAATCCAGATAATATCACTTATGATAATTATAATCAAATTAGTATACCAATATCTGCTTCGCCAGAAATTGCTCTTAAAGGGTAAACGTTTTCACATATTCAAATAATAATTAAAAAAAATTCATTTTTTATTTTTATTTTATAGTGTGGCTAAACCCGAACAAATTCAACCATATCCAACGTCGATAACATCCGATATTTCAAAACAAATTAAAATTTCTGATTTAGACATTGTTCATATCTACACTGTAAGGATTATTTTCATTTTTCGATTTAAATCATTTTTTTTTTTATATATCCTTTTGTTTCAGTTACATAACAAAGGTCCGGGTAATTCTAAAAGAATTTCATTTAAATTTGTATGGCCAGTATTATCATTATCAGACGATAATATTTTATATGATATTGAATACCCAAATATAACAAGACTTAATGAACCACGAACAATGGAAGATTATTGTACAGTTGCAGATTTATTTTTTACAATTAAAAACGTATGTTAACATAAATCTCGATTATAAATGTAAAATGTCTAACTTTTCATGCTTCCGAGATAGTACTGTTTAGATTCACTCAAACTGTACACTGTTCTAATTCCAAAAGTAAGGTTAATTATCTAACGCAATTGTTTGTTATTGTTTATTTCAGTCGGAATCAGCTTTAAAGAAAATTCGATCACCATTCATGGAAAATATTCGTAATGTTTTATCATCGAATCGACCAAAAACATTTAGTTGTAATGGTATTTGTAAAGAATATGTATGTTATATAGCTGATTTAAATGTTGGACACAGTGTTATTGTAACACTAAAAGCAAAATTACGATTAAATGTACTTCTCATGGTTCGTATTGACACACAATTTTAATATTATCTTATTCAAGTCATATTTCAATATATTTTTATTATTTTAGAAACAAGATCGAACTAAATCGTTTATTCTTTCGTCAAATGCTACAGCTAAAATATTAGAAATTCCTTATAATATTACCAATATTAAATTATTAAGTGCTAATTTAAAGGTAAGACTCTCTCTCTCTCTCTCTCAGTCTTTTTATTTTACAATTTAGAAAAAAAAAAAAAAAAAATTGAAAACTAAATAAATAGTAGAAATATTTTCTATTTATTTCTTACACTTCGTGAAGATCGAATAGAATAAGGACATAGAATACGATAGAATGCTTTTCGAAATTTAACATGTAGAAATGAATATAACAACGGATTAATTGTTGAATTTAACCATAATAACCAAAATGTAAATTCATATAATGTATTTGATATACATTTTGTTGGTTGTTTACATAGTGCACGAATTAATGTTAATAATGTATATGGACACCAACATATCACAAATGCAAAAACAAGAATAAATAAACTTCTTGCAGCTTTTTTATCACGTGCTAAATTAGCTGAAGTTGATGATGATTTTGAATATGTTGTTCTTGATGGTAAAAGATGAATTGTAGTAGCAGTAGTTGTAGGTTGTAATAAAATATGATTCGTTTTATTCATATGACCATTTGATATTTGAATATGATTTAAATCATTATTCTTATTATCTTTTTGATGTTTTTTTGATAATCCTAATGTTGTCGATGTTCTAATTAATCCACGTGATCGTTGACGAATATTTAAATAAACCATTAAATTTAAAGTTGTTAAACTAAAAAATGGTACAAAAAATTCAACAAATGCTGTTGTTACTAAATATGGAAAACTATGTGCAAATGGTGCATCACATTCATGATGATTAAATTTTGTTGATGAAAATAAATCCCAAAATATAATAGCTGGACCTAAAATAATTAAAAATTAAAACATTTTTTTTTGTTTTTTCATTAAATAAATGGATAGTTTTTTTAATAGTTATTTTTTTACCATAATTTAATGATGCAACAATCCATGTTCCAAAAACAAATATTAATGCACGACGTACACTTCTTTCAGAAATATATTTTAAACCTCTTGATACCATTTGATATCGATCAAAACTAATAACAACAATACATAGTGTACTTGCACTACCCACAACATAATCAAAAACAAGCCATAATTTACATAAATGATAACCAAAATACCATTGACCGGATATAAATTTTGGAGCATATAATGGTATACATATGATACCAACTAATAAATCAGTTATAGATAAATTTAATATAAAATAATTTGAATATGTACGAATTGAGGCATCACTAACAAATGCTATTATAACTAACTAAAAATAGAAATTAAATTTTAATTTAAATAATAAAATATATCATAGTTAAAACTTAGAATTCTTACCAAATTTCCACAAACAGTCATAAATGTCATTATTAACATTATTAATGTTAATAGAATGTTTTTATAATAAAATATTGTTATTGATGGTATTATTTCTGAACCACCAACGAGTGTTGTTGCAATACTCGTTAAATTTGTTGTAAAAACTAATGTTAACGTATCATTAATAAATAATTCTAAAACAATATCATAATTATTATTTGGATGTTGTTGTTGTTGTTGCTGTTGTTGCTGTTGTTGATCTAGTATCGATAAAGTATGATTCATATCATTTTCATTTTTAAAAACTATTTTTATTCAAGAAAAATAAATATTTTTAATGTATATATAATCTAAATAAAAACTATAAAGAAGATAAGATTATTAAACATATTAGACATTCATTATATTGACAAGACAAATTTTTAATTGTTTATATATACATTTTACATCCTACTTTTAGAAGTGCATGATCACCGGAATTTGAAATTTACATAATGCTTTGTGCGTGTGTATAGATAAGATAAAACGGAAATTCATCACTATGGAAAAGTTGCAATTATTAACAGTAATGGATCTTAGTTTGCTGTATCACTTATACGTACACACACACACACATACATCTCTATATATATATATAAAACAGAGAAGAAAAGAACTGTCTGTCTCAATAGTTAATAATACAGATTCATTTATAAAATGATTGACAGTCACAGACAAATTTTCAATAACGTTAAATTTATTGTAAATAATAATTAATGGTCAACAAATGTTTTATTCAATATCACATCCCTCCTTTATTTGTATTTATCATTATTGCTTACTTATGTCATAAAATTTCACAAAAAAATGAGAGAGTTTTCCTTATTGAAGAATGTTCATTTAATAGAAGACCGTTAGCAGCTTGACATCGCAGTTTATTTCTTCTATCATCTATGAGAAAATGTTACATTGTGAATATTTCACTTTTTTTTTCCTGCCCTCGAACGCATAACAATTAAAAGACAATTTTATAATTTCAGGTACATTGTATACGAGTACATTGTATCTAGACTTGTTTGTCTAGAAATTTACCAAACCCAAACTTTTTCCACAGCTAAAATTAATATAGAAGTTTGATTATGCCGTTTTCATGACAAAAATAACAAATTATTTTCTCCTAATTGTGAGAGTAGTAAGGCTTACTATGACAATGAACATTTATAGTTTTTCTGTGTCGCGTAGCTCGAGTATAAAACATTAATCTGGCAAACCAGAATCATTAGACTTGATTCCTAATCAAGTCATGTGTTTTTCTATCGAATTTCACACAAAGATACGTACGTTCGATGCTTTCTTGTACATTTAATTCCTATACAATCTTACTATTTCACTTTTTTAAGGGTAGATGTTAGTCAAATGTATGTCTTGAAACTGATGCTTCGATATATAAAGATCTAAACTATTTTTTTAAAACTTTTCTCTCTATATCTTATTTATATAGGTATTCATGTTTTATTCTGTTAGGAACCAACAAACAGAGTCGCTATCAAAATTTTTTTCTTTCATTCATAGGGAAGTCTGACAGGTTTGGTTTATAGTTCATTACTTTTTGTTTTAAGTAGTTTCACCCCCTATTTTTTTTTGCTTACTGATGCTCATCAAGTGATTAATCTGATACATACTTGGAGACATAAAAGTATAATTAAGAAGAAAAAGGAAATAGAAGAAAATACTTCACGAATCAAATGAACGTTCCTGAGGAAAATACTATCTACAACTTGATTCACTCACTTATTTTCAAACAATTTTTTGTCAGTTGACTGTATTTCTGTCAAACATAAGATGTTTTTATTTTTATATGGGTGGATAGAAGAGCATGCATTTCTCTATCGAACTGTATATTTTGTATCTGAATTTGTTTTTCTGTTCTTGGACGATAATTTAGTGGAATTCTAAATACCAAATGATAATATAATTAGTTGTAAGGGGAATATTTAACTAAAACTAAATCCGATTGGCACGGAAATGGTTTCAGATTGAAGAGATGCATCAAAGTAAAAAAGTTTTTTGAAGAATATCACTGAGTTCTCGGCCAAGATGAAAAGTGTCCCTAATTGACTTTGCAGATCAAACAATATCAAAGGTGACATCAAAAGTGAGAGTGAATATTACAGACAAATCGAGAATAAACCAGATCAGGAATAGATCAGATACAAAATATACAGTTCAATAGAGAAATGAATGCACTATCCAGCCATATAAAAATAAAAAACGTCTTATATTTGGCAGGAATACAGTCAAGTGACAAAAACTGTTTGAAAATAAGTGAAGTCAAGCTGTAGATATCTTTTCGTAACTGATAAATCATCATTATGTTCAATTTCTAGTAAACATCGAAAAAATATATTAAAGATAGAAATTTTAGGTACAGGATTTAATTTTAATTTATAATTTCTATTTTTGAGTCATTTTGAGATTTCTATATACTATTTACTTACCTCTTCTATATATGTAGTTCTCTGACATTGTTATTATCCTTTAATGATAGAGACGTCAATGTTCATGACAATCACTTGTTTTGCAAACTTAAAAAAAAGAATTAAAAAAAAATAACACGTTCGAGTTGCAATAGTCGAATATGAAATGTTTTGACGTGTGCTTTTTGAGATAAATCAAAGGAGAGCGAAGAAATAGAAGAAGAAAAAAAAAATGTTATAATTATATCTAAGAAACGAACATACTGTGTTTCAATCTTCTTTAGACTAGAAGTAGAATTTTCAATGAATATTTTTTTTTTTTTCTTAAATTAAAAAATATTAAAATAATTTTAATTATGCGGTTTGCTGTTGGATTATTTGAAAATGACAAGCGCATCTAAAGGACGACAACATAGACATTATTTAAGTTTTCTTCATCTATGTAGATCTTCTGTCTGAGTTGAAATCCTACGAGAATTTTATCGTGTATATTAGCATAACCAATATTATTTCAGTAATATAGATATATATATATATATATATATATAAAAGTCTGTTCCTTTCCTTTATATTATTTTCCGTGTTTTAATGAAGAGAGAAAGAACAAGAAGAAGAAGGAAAAGAAAAAGAAAAAAAAAAAAACCTGAAACGATAAAATGTATACAGGAGATAAAACTCAGTTTGAATTGGACTAATTGGTAAGGTTTCAAATTTTTATTTTTCATTTATATTGTGCACAAGTGTATGATTATATTAAAATAATATTTAAAAAAATTTGTGTACTAAAATTAAACATATATTTTGAAGTTTAGTTTGATAGACAAAATGGACTAAATAAATTTTGAATCTAAATTGAATCATTAATGAATTTAAAATTAAAATTATATTGTATTAACATTTAGTTAAAAAAAAGAAATGAATTTGTATCAAATTAAAATAAAGTAAAAATTGAAAATTTATCTTGAAACTGAGATGAAAAATCAATATAAAAAAAACAAAACAAAACAAAATAGAATCTTTTTTATCTGAAGAATAAATTCGAATCGTTTTATAAAAAAAAAAATTTTGAAGTTGAAAAATGAATGAAGAATGATAACGCTTTTATTACAACTGAGAGGGTATTCAGTATATGAACATAAATAAGTTTACTATATGAGAAGATTTAGCTCATCTTGATTTTATTCTTTATAAGTTCAATGTGAATGTGTAAAATAATGGTATGTGTATAATAGAGATCTTGATGAGACTATCTACTATCACTTCATCTAACTAATGAATAGATAATATTTCATGATTTATTAAATTTATCACGATTTTCTTTTCTACATTTTATAATAGTCAAAGTAGATAGAAACATTTACACTATAAACTTAAACTTTATTACTTCACTCGTATAAATACGCTCATGTATAAGATAAAAATATTTGACTATTCAACAAGTCTAATAGACTCTTGAGGAATGAATTATCTTGCGGTTGATTTTGAATCGTGTACTTTTGACAGCAAATAATTTCTATTATTCAATTTAAAAATTAGTATTTTAACAATAGACAATATTGTCAATAGTATTTACTCCATTTTTTTGTGACACTAACTGTCTTATTGTATTCGATTATGTACCTGTCATATTTTCTGTCATAGTTTGTTTGTTTTTTTTTTGTTTTTTTGTTTTTTTGAACAAAATTGGCCTTATAAAAGATAATGTTTTATTATTAAATAGATAAATGAATGACGGATGTTAAAGTCTTTCATATTCAATGGAAAGTATACATCAAGAAATGAAAAGTGAGACGTAATATTAGAATTTAAATGAATACTTTTACGTTTACACGATATTTCCTTTTATTCTCATTATTGTCCATTTAAAATCTAATTTGTTTTTATAATAATGAAAATGATACTAGCGGTTTGACTTTCAATTATATGAATTCTTAAAATTATCATATAAATAGTTTTAAAAACACGCGAAGATCAATAACTATATGTTATTTTAGTTAATAATACAACTCTACTCCTCTTAATTGATTTTCACATGATGTAATTACATATATTGATATATAATGACATATTATTGATGGATAGGATATATTTTTCATTAGAAATCATAGTCATTTTTTTTTTAATTAAAAATAATATTTTCTTATTCAATTCGTTATTTTCTTCTTTTTTTTTTTTGTTTCGAAATTCTATTTATTATAAACAAACAAAAATATTAAAACTTTGACTAGAATCCTAAGAATAGAATTCAAATTAATTAAACTTAATTTTGACATGAATATCAATTATAATTCGTGTTCAAATCGATTGTTTTTTTGTGGTTTTTAATCGATTAGAAATGTTTCAATGTTAGACAGTAAAGTCAATCATTAACATATTAAGAGGCATATATAAAAATATTATACAGATGAAAATTTAAAAAAAGGTTTTTTTGTTTTTTATCTTACTTTATTTGTTGTCATGTAAAAGAAATATTTTTTATTTTATTTTTTCACAAGGGATTTATCAGGATTAATAATCGTTGAATAAAAAACAAAATTTCAACGGAAATGACAACGCTATGCTAAATTGAACACACAAGTGATTTTGTGATGCGAAATGTAATGAAAAGGAAAAATGAGTATATGAGATTGAATGATCATAATAACTCTGCGTATATCCGATCTTTAAACAAGTTTTGATCATAGGGTGGGATCTATTCTATTTCTCTCTTTTGTATATGATTTGTACGTTTATTAAGTCTCTATTTAATCATAGAATGAAATAATAAAACGTTTAATGTTTCTTATGAATGTATAGAAAGTAGGACCATTTAAAATTTTTTACACCACTCTTTAGAAAAAAACCGGAAAAAAGAAAGTTCTCATGTTTTCATCCATTGTTCACACAGGCATATAAATCACGCTAAGGTGTATTTATTCTTTGACATGCTACTTTTTCTCTCTTTCTCTAGATGAAAGAATGAAGATGTTAAAAATTAATATAGAAACAAATATTTTTTATTTTAAACAAAAAAAGAAATAAATCTAGAAAAAAAAAGAAAATCTTATCAAATCCCAATTAAGTTCGTTTTCTATTACTTTCGAGAAGAAGAAGAAGAAATACTATTACTTTTATTTTAGTGTCATTATGGAATATAAATAGGAAATAAACATTTGATATTACAGAGAGAAATCACAGGAGATCTTAGATAATTATTAGAGAATCTGATTTTTTAAACTTTTAATAATACCTATTGTACCTACACCCATTACCTATATTTTTCTGTATTCACAGAAATACTACAGAAAAATAGTCGTTTATATTAAAAAAAGTAGGTTGTCTATAGAGGATATTCCTTTAAATATATCTTATGTTCGGAAACGTTCTATGGCTTTTATTTTTCAAGTATAAAGATTATATTGTTTCAAGTTGTTTTCTATTATTGTCCTAATAACTTTCGTCTTCTTACCTTTCTCATCGTCGTTGATCTATATTCATTTTAGAGTATTTTGAAAGAGCAACAAAGCATAGTTCTTCATCTATTTTATGATCTACTATGAGATGAGAAATATATGGACAATAGAGAGACAGAGAGAGAGAGAGAGAGAGAGAGAGAGAGTATGATTACCATATAACAGATTTATATATATATATATATTATTATTTGTCAAATGAAAAGAACAAAAACAAAAATCCTGATTGATGTTCTAATATAGACAGTATTTTTATGAAACATCTTGCTGTTTTTTCTTTCTTTATCTCTTTTTTATCTTAGTTTCTGTCGACCTCTCTTAACTTTTAAGTTTTTTGAGTAACTTTATCATAAACCTAATGTTTCATTTGCGTCACGTTTTGAATGTTGGACAAAAAATAAATTCTTTTTTATATCTATATGATATTGTCTGGAGTTTCTATCCATAATATCGTTCAGTTACGACAAAAATTATGAATGCTAATTTGATTCGGAAATGTGCAAATTTCTAGATTTAGATGAAACTAGAAATTGAATATTTATACAGGAACAGAATGAGACATAATTTTATAGACATACTTAAACCTCTAATCATAAACTTTTTTTGTTGTTTTAGCTCGAAACACAATTATTACCCATCGCTGAACGTTCTCAGCCTTGGCTATGGCTCATTGGAGTTAGCGTTACATTTGGCGTCATTTTACTTATTATATTAGTTAGTGTATTGTGGTGTGTAAGTATCATTGATATCTTCAACTTCGGTTATTATCTAAGGCGTCACAAATAATATACAATAAATTGAAAAAGATCAAAAATACACTGACTATAGCGACACTAGATTAACTAAGATATATTCGTGTGTACTACAGGGTTAATAAATAATCCTTATATAGAAAATACTCTGACATTCGGATTTTATTTTTATTTGCAAACTACAGTAATCAATCGATTTCCTCAAGCATAATAACATATGGTTATCTTTTATAAAAAAATTGTGAAATATTTATCATCTGGTATAAATTTGGTTAACGGTCATAAGAAATTCTTAGTTAGTCATGAAATTGATAGTCTTTTTGCATTAGATATAAACACTTCAAAGAAAAAAATTTCTTAATTAAAAATAAAACAAAGTAAAAAAAAGTAAAAATTTATCGAACTAATCATTCCTAATGACTATTCATCTTTTTTTCTTTTTTTTTAAAAAGAGACATATTTATTAAATTTTAGTGTGGATTTTTTAAACGTCATCGTCCACAACCAAGTTCACCAATTGTTGAATCTCAAAATGAAGGTCGATATCATGTGATCAATAGTCACCTTGATGATCAAGGTGAAGGCGAAGTGACGGATGATGATGATGATGAAGAAGATGATGATGTGATGAGTTATCCAACTACACGACCAGCTGATAGTCTACCAATATTTGTACCGAATGTTTCTCATTTATCAACATCGTCAGATGTTGATTCACCTCAAACAGTAATACAAAGAATGTATCAGTTTTCATATTAATAATGATTGTTTTTTTGTTTTTAACAGTGTATTTATCATGACATGTGATTTTCATCTGATTTTAGCACATTTTTTTTTGTTTTTTGATTTTCGTATATTTTTTATTTAAATATAAAAACGAAGAGTTAATTATTCTTCACTGTGTACAAATCATTATCTACAGTAGGAAATATGTTCAACACCTCGAGCCATTTTAAAAAAAGAAAATTTTTTTTTTAAAACAAACTAAAGATAGAATAAAAAAAAAACAACAGAACTATTTGTTGTGTGTTTTCTATAGACTTTCATTATAAAAATCGTTATCCAAATTCTTCAATTGAGGATAATTTAGATCAACATCTTTCAAATAATAGTCAGCTTACTTAAAGACATAAATTTTATTTATCTTTTAATATTTTTGCAAATTATCAATAGAGACTATAGATGCTGAAATGTGCATAACAATAGAAAAAAAAAGATTGTCATCAATAATTAAATGTTGACTAAGGCGCTTGTCGGAGTAAACTAATTCCTGAATACCGAGTACAACATCGATGTTTGTTAACAAATTAAACATTCTAAATAGCGTTTTCATTATACTTCTCATTCATCAAACACATGTCGGCAGTTTGTTATTACTTGATTTGAAAATTTTTCTTTTTTATATTGAAAATTTTACTTATGCTCCCTACCATACAAAACTAATTCAATCTGAACTTCAATACTAAAATGTTTCTGTATGAATATTTGGAGAGTGCGTTAAACGAGCTCTCAACTGAAAAATAGTGACGAATAAAAAAAAAATTGACACTGACTGTATAAAAGTATAAAAAAAAAAAATACCGAAACAAAAATATGGAAAAGATATTAAATGTGGCAACCATGTATAGTTTGGTTGTCAGGCTTCTAAGGTGTGAATAAAATAAAAATTCATAATAGAAAAAAAAAAATTGTCAAAAAAAATAAAAATTAAAGCAGTCGTTTTTGTTTGCTCTGTAACATACATATGATACAACAACAACAACAACAAATCTACACAAATTTCCTTTTAGCTATTTTGATTGTTAACATTAAAATCCTCGTTCAATTTTTTTAGAATATTAACTTACAAATGGCTATAACGCGAAACAATTCTATGTATTCTTATTAAAAATAATATATTAATTGAAAATGAGTAGTGAAACATCAGAAGTTCAACGACCAAGTACATCTTGTACACTACGACGAAATTTAGATAAAGAAAATATGAATAATGTTGTATCACGAAGTTATACATTTGTTAAAGACAAATCATCATCAACATCTGTTCCACCATCATCACCTAAAAGACAATCACGTTCAACACAAAATTGTTCATCATTTAATGAACGTATTGGATATAATCTATTAAGTAATGATAATTGGAGACGTGAAACAATTGGTGATTTACAATTAAATGCAAAAGCAATTGAACAAAGTGATCAAAATATTTTATTCGGAAAAGGTATCGATCCATTACCTCATGTCAAAGAACTTTTAAATGAATTAAGTAATGAACAAGCATTTTTATACGCTAGACAATGTCGTTTGGTTGTGGCAAAATTAAGATTATGTTGGTCAGATGTTAACGAAGAAATTAAATCTTTATTAAAACATAAAGAATATACAGAAGCAGCCATTGATCACATTCGAAAAGACTTAATTATTAATAAAGAAAGTGTTGATATTCGGAAAAAGCCGCCAAGAGAATCTGTAAGTTTAATTTTTATATTTATTGAAAGTTTTCTTCTTAAATTGTATATGTCGTTTTCAACTAAATTAGTATTTTTTATTATAAAAAGAAAAATAACAACTCTGGATTACGTAGTAATTGTACGAATATGTTTTTTCTCGTAGACTATGATAGATAATAAGACACAAAACAAAATACTTTTCTAGTTAAACACATTCATAATGTTAAATTTTATTTTATTTTTTTTCCTGTTTGTATTAGGAACCAGACGGTGTAGACGATATGTTATCAGCTGAAAAATATCATTTAGTTAATTTGAAAAAAGTGTTGGAATTAAATTGCAAAAATATTGTGGATCAAATGCAGGTTTGTATTTATTTTCTCTTTTAATAGAAAAATGCCATTGAAATGTTTCTTTTATTATTTGTAATTTATTAATGTTAATTTATTTTATAGAAATTAGATGAAGTGCGAACTAGAGTAGCAAAAATTGGAAAAGAGCGTTCTTTGGTAACAGAACTCATATGTCAATGTCTAACACAAGCTTCACGAACATTTGAAATAACACGCTATGAAAGGTAAAAAATACATTGTTTTTTTTTTTCAGAATGTGTTTTGAACATTATAATTAATTCATTTAGATTATCAAATCTTCATCCTTCAACTGTTCCAAAGACGGCACCAGCACGTCCTTCATCTTCTTGTGGAATGAGATTTAGTCGCCATTCTGCTTCTTCGTCTACAACAAATTTAACAAAAATTGTACCAGAAGCAACATTACTCGATGAAAATGGTTTACCGCTAATTGGAAATTTATCAGCATTTACTCCCGATGTTATTAATGCATTTCAAGATGCTTCAAAATTAATTGAAGGTAATCTCGGCTTGATACTGTTGAATTTCAAGCATTATTTCTTTTTACGTTAATTAAAGAATCTCGTGAAATAAAAAAACAAGCCATGAAACAGATCAAAGACGCATTTGACGAAGCAAAAGCATGTTCCATTACTGTTCATCAAAGTCTCGCACAACGCCTTGCAGATATAATTACATTGGCTGTTAGTAACGATATCTTCGAAATAGTATTTGCCAATAATATTTGATTACTTTTTTTTTAGCAAAATTTAACCGTTTCATTAGGAGAGAATGGTCTAGCTCAAAATCGTGCACAGCGCTGGCTAGATCTAACTTGTGCAGCACAAAAAGCCAATTCTGGACCAACCAGTTATTCCTATTTGAAAACAGCTGAACGTCTTGATAGACCAATTATTCGTACATTCCAAAGACATCCAGGAAATCAAGTTCCCGAAGCAAAAATTACAAATAAGGTATAAAGTGAATTCTAAAGAGAAGAATTGTCAACTTCTTCGTATATTAGTAAACGGATAAATGGAAGTCTAGGATAGAAGTTGAAATCATCCTCAATATTTGATACACATTTCCAATGAGAAACTAACGAGAGATGAATAGAATAAAACTTTTCTCTGTACCGCATTATATCTCGCTATGGTACGATCTCATTAACGATTCAGGATTATCTATCGTCATTAACTTTTGTATAATTTCGTTTTAGGCCACTCAAAGTTTGGCACAATCTGCTGTCGAAACAGCTAAACAAATTCGTACATTAAAAATAATCGGTCAACGTTTACACAATAATTTAGTTGATAAGGAAGTAGCATTAAACGTTGATTCGAATCTATTACGTCGACGACGTGAACGATCAAACCATAAATGGAATGTTACAAAATATGTACATGTTTAAACTGTATCCATCGCTTCTCTCTGTGATATTTCAATGTGCCTTATATAGATTTTATTTTATCAATTTTTATTTTTTTCATTATAGAAAATGATTTTTTTTGTTGAGTCTACTCTCACACCGTAATAATCTCGTATTTCTAAAACTTATCTCATTGTTTCCTTTAAGTAAGTGACCGGTTTTTTCTTTGTTATCTTTCACAAACGAGAAAATTTTCTTACACATCTTTTTTATTTCATTTCTATAATAAATGACACTCGTATCAGATGACTTCATGCGATATACACCATAGTGGGCAATCAAGTGGACATTTGGAGAAAAATCAAAAGTGAGCGTTTCGAGATTTTAACTTATTGTCAAATACCGTTTGACTATTGACCGATTTTTTAACGAAAGATTTTCAGCTCTAACTCTTAAGGTCACCGAGAAAATTTAGGTGCAAAAAAGAGGCAGGTTTCAAAGACTTCCGACAAGAATGCAACCTGCTGAAGGAGTGGATGAATACAACTGACATTTTCTGAAACTAGAGCTTCTGTACTATAGGTTCAGCGAAAAACATTTTGTTTCCTCACTTTTGTGTCGGAAAAAAGAAGGATTTTTCCTCCACTAGGTGTTTTTCGACAAAAGGTAGTACAGTGGGCGCGCGAAGTTTAGCGAAGTTTAGCGAAGCTCCGAATTCGATGAAACTTCCAGAGAGTCATCTTCTATATATGATAGATCTATACAGTTAGCGCAAACACGTGCAAAATCTCCTGCACTGAGTTACAGGTCCAAATGCCCTGGGTTTTTGAGATAATCCTTGTTTTTCTTGGCCCCTAAACACTTAGCACAAAATGAATGGCAAAATCGGGATCAGCGTGAAAACTTGTCTATAGTGAAAGACTCTCAGACATTTCTGCCACAAATTTTGATGATTTTTCAGAAGCAGGATCTCTAGAAAACCCTCGAAAAACTCGTTTTGAATTCTGCTTTTAGTCTCAGTGAATTGGCCGTGGTCAAGAACCTACAAAAGCATTTTTTTCACGACTTTTACATCCTTTAAAAGCCGAAGTCCACATGACTAGCCAAAATTGCCCACTGTGTGCACGCGGTTCAGTTTTAAGGGCATCCTTTCCTCTTTTTGTACTTTCCGTAGAAATGCTGTCAAATAAAACCTAAAAATGACTAAGGCTTCATATAACCAAAACTGATTGGAAACTCAATGTAACATTTTAACGTTTTTGTTTCAAGTTTTCAGCTGTTGCCGTTCGTGAGTTTTTCAGAAAACTCGATTATTCATTGTGTCGCATTACGATCTCAGTAAATCTCACCCGATAGAGCCAGA